AATACGGTACATGTACATGTACCACCAATTACTATCACTTACTGAGTAGCTGTAAGACACAGTTTCCTTTGGTAGATTAAGAGCTCTGGTCCATTACTGCACAACCTATAAAGAACAATAAATAAATAAATATAATAAATATTTGAACCATAAAAGTCTGTTACATTTTAAAAGCTTTACAGTGTCAGTGCACATAATTACAGAAACAAACATTAAAAAAAACAAAACAACCAATGAGCTTACAGAAAGATAAATCAAAGCTTAAAGTGATCCTCGCAGCGAAAGTAGCTATGATAAAAGAGAATATATTCCCTCCAAAAAGCCGCCATTTTTAATGTCACCAACTATTGGCAACTAACTTAGGTGCGCGTTAATTAGAAAATACTATTAAAATGGACCTCTCTCCTCAAGAAGTCAGTGTAGGTTTTTAAAGCTTTTCTTAATTATTTTCTCTCCATTTTATTCTAGTACCAGGCCTGTCCACTTCATTTTTATGATTTCAAGCACCTGGATCACATGAAAGTGCGTTTAATCTAATGATTTATTATCATTTATAATATTTTCAATTTTTGTTCATTGTCCACGTCCTTGTAGCTATGCCCCACCTACTCATTAATATTCTCAAGTCAACGTGAGTACTTAAATAATGAGGGAGGGTCTGGCATTAAAACGTAACTTGTGTGCATATTAAAATAGATGTAGCTGAATATTAGTAATTAAAATTGTCATGATTAGTTTCATTGTATTAATTTTAAAACATTTTCTCTCCAGACTCCATTCCACTTGATGATCTTGATAAATTACAGGCGGAGCTCTCAAACCTCAAAGAAGCAGCTCAAAAGTAGCGGCCCCACTCAACATTAATAATATTTATATTATTATACTTCCTTTCCTATTAGTCGAGTACAATTACTGACATCAGAACTAACAGTATTGAACGACTGGCACGTGAGGAGAAAGTATGTAAAGTTGAAATATACATTTGTAATAAAAGGATATTTACCTTGTAACCTGCCATGCAAGTGAATGGAACAGCATGAGTTGTGTGAGCTACTGTACTGTAGTGCCATGCTTTTTGGAGCAACTTTATAGATTTGTAAAAAGTCCAATTTTGATTGGAATCAGTTCGAACTTTCTAGACAGCATAAGTAAAGGGTCTTTGGCCCAAATTTTGAGTAACTATAAAAATTCATTTAAAAATCTAATTTGACTGGAATCAGCTCAAAGTTGATACACAGCATAAGAACATAATATACATGTATATGCATCAGAAAAAAAACTACAAAAATGCAGAAGTTTCTCATGATAATAAATGTATTTGGTACTTTGTGAAGCACAAAATGTTATAGATGGTTTTATTATCATTATTATTATTATTATTTTACCATTCCTGTACAGGAGGAAGCACAGTGATACAGAGAGTGGTAGCACAGCTCCTTTCTCAAGCACAGCTCCTAGCAACACTCGTGGTACATCAAAATCACAATCAGGAGCTTCACAGAAATCACCTTTAGAACAACTATCATCTTCATCAACTAGTAAGAGAACTAAAGCCAGTCACAGAGGAGGAGGAGGTGGAGGAGGAGGAGGAGTAGATGAGCATAAGAAAGGGAAGGGTAAGAGTAGGGGAAGTGGTGAGACTGTTATACCAGAAAAGGATCAGAACCAAATAACAAGTGCTTTAACAAAGTAAGTGAATGTACTATTGTATAAATATAGGTTAGACAACGCATTTGAGGTTTCTACGTGATTTAGATTACTGAGGAAACAAATTTAATTAACTGAGGGCGTAGCCCGAGGTTAATTAATGTTTCCAAGGTAATCTAAAT